CACCCGGCGATGGCCCCACTCACACCTGCAGCTGGTGCCAGAGCTGCTGCTCATACCTGCTGCCGGCACCCAGCGCTGGCCCCAATCGCTCGGCACCGTCAGCGGGTGCGAGCGGTGGCTGCCGGCCCCAATCGCCCCTGAGAGTTTCTTCACCTCCCCCTGCTCCTGAGGGGCAATCGGGACAGCAGCCACCACTTGCACCTGCTGATGGTGCCGGCACCAATCGCTCCGCGTCGTCAGCAGGTGTGAGTGGGGCCAGTGCCGTCAGTGCGTGGGAGTGGCGGCAGTGGGAGTGGGACTACAGGCAGACAGGGGACCGGGGCCACGGCGGGAGGGGCTAGTGAGGGCGTAGAGGATGGGTCGAGACCCACCCCTGTGCCCACCACAGTCTCTTGGCCCACAGTTCCTTTCAAGGTGCACGAATTTGTGCACTGGGCCCCTGGTAGTATAATAATTCTCTAAAGACAAGAATTCCAGGTGAATGCACCACAATTAGAAATTGGTATATAGTGTGGTATGCCATGAACAATGGACTAAAATTAAGAGAACTCAGTTCTCATTCAGCCTAGTCACTAACTAAACTATTATGTAACTGTGGGCAAATCACCTGTAAAAAGATGGGGTTGAACAATTACCAAGGACCCTTATACTTGGTGATTCTAGAATTGATTGTAATACTGTCCCATAGAACTTTCTGCAATGGTGAAAATGATTAATATCTGTGCTGTTCACTCTGATAGCAACCAGACACCTGGCTATTGAGGCTGTAATGTGTGGTTAGTCTGAGTGAAGAAGTAAAAGTTTTAAATTTTATTTCACTTTTATCAATTGAGATGTAAATAGCCACATGTAGTCATTAGCTATTCCAGTGAATAGTGCAGAAAGCTCTATAAAACTTATAACATGCAATTTATACCAAAAATATGTTTGGAGGTGGGCAATTTTTAGAAAGCAAAATTAACATATACTCAGGGGAAAAGGCAGATTAAAAGGTAATTACCTTAAATGAGAGGAGAAATTTAGAACTCTTTCAGTGATGTGTCTTATTTTATATGTGCCTGGAACATGGTAGACATTGGTAGCAGGTTGCAGAGCACAAAACATGGTGGGATGGTGGAACAGGTGAGTGGGGGCGCCTCAGTGATGTGTCTTATTTTATATCTCTGCCTACTGTGCTCACTTAAAACACACCTTTCCCTTCTCTTTCTCTCATGCACAGCAAGCATGAACACAATTTCAAGTGCAGCGCAGACAAGATAGGGATGGATGGCTCAGGGCACTTTGAGCCAATATCAGTGACTCCTGGGAGGTTAAGGGCTCTAAGGCCTTGTCTTTATCCACAGGCGGAACAACTCCCCCTACTCAAGGGGCCCATTCTTTAATCAGAAACAACCAGAGCAAAGAAGAGTGAAACAAGTAGCTTATTGTTTAAAGAGAATCTAAGTAGATAAGAGTTCCATGGTACCCTGGGATGTGGGTGTGTAGTCTTGTATTCTTTCTTAAAAAAAAAAAAATGCTATACTGGGGTTAATTTCTTATTTTCATTCTGCTGCAGAATAAAGATTTTTAAAAATCTACTTTAAAATATGGCTTGCATAGGGAAGAAGAAAAAGAACATGCAAGGTATATAGGATTTTTTCCTCCTTTACCCTTAAATACTAGTCTTGAGTGTACTATAAAAGGCACTCTTATTTAAATGCAGTGAATATAAACTTTTTTTAAATCCCCAAACTTGTCTTTAATAAAACAAGCAAATAGACCATGTTTTATAGGTTGAAAAAAAAATCTGTACTTTAAAAATCCCTCGAGAGTAAGAACGTTAAAATTTTTGTGATCATTGCCCACAGTGACAAATATAATTACTAGCATAGAGTAGGTGCTTAATATTTCTCAAATACTGTAAATAAATGAGCTTTGCCATTCAATTCAATAAATATTTATAAATGACTACTATGTATTTTATTGTTTAATTTTTAAAAAATCCTCAGAGAAAAATGATTTTCCCTTTAGCATACCCTGAAATGTACTTACCTGGAGAATCTCTGCTGAATGCAGTCAAAGCTGCCTTGAGGGTTGTCTTTGCCCACATTTGACAAATAGAAGTTAAATGTATGTACTTCATTGATGGGATCATTTCTGGGAATTTTGACAAGCTAAAAGGAGAGGAAAAGAGAAGAACATCTCAAATTATAAATTTTCTATAAAATGATCTGATGGCTGACTGTCTTTCAAGTAACATTCACTTTATGCCCAAGCCCTATTTTGCATTTAAGTTACCCAATCACCTAAGAAACCTGGCAAGTGTATCTATAACTCACCGCATCCTCATGTCCACTCTTACCCCAAAGTGCCAGTAGTCACTTCTCCCCGGCAATGAGCTTATGGGAGGAACCATCTTCATTGCAAATGAGCAAATAATTACAGTTCACACGGAAGAGTTACCAGTGAATGGGCCAAAAAATGCGTCCTCTTTTGAGCTACACAGGTTCTGTTTGGCTGATATGACCTCTTGCTAAATAGATTCTAGATACTTAAATGCTCTCTATGATAGCTGTGGCCTATGGGCTTAGTTGGTTGAGTGTCATCCCATGCATTGAAAGGTTGCTGGTCCGATTACTGGCCAGGTCACATGCCCAGGTTCCAGGCTGGGATGCAAACAATAGATGTTGCTCTCACATTGATGTTTCTCCCTCTCCTCCCTTCCTCTCCTTCTAAAATCAGTTTTAAAGAACACATTTAAATGCTTTCTAAGATAAAGTCCATGTCCCAGTCTTTTGCTCTTTTATTATATATACATATTTAATTTAAATCTTCCTACTTTTGAGTAATATTTTTGAATAATATCTAGCAGCGTAAGGTGAATGCCATAATTACATTTACAGCAAAATGAACCCCTCATTCATCCTTATACTTATAGAACAGGGTCAGCAGCCTACTGAGATGGTTTTGCAAGGCACAGTGGGGCTGAGCCCCAGGCAACACTGTGAAACAGTATGTTTTCCATGCTCTTGCTCAGTCTGGTTTCTCTGCTAGATGAGGGAAGGGATAGGACTGCTCTAGACAACTGAGCCCCTGCACCAGGATCATATTCCTGGCACATGGTAGAAGCTTCATAAATATCTGTGAACAAATGAACTGGAACATTCTCACTGTCTTTCAGCTGTTCCACTCTTGCCAGCTCCTGAAACCTTTCTTCCCTTGGGTCTGCAGGGGCCACCATAGGGACAATTACAGGAAGGATTTGTTGGCACGAATGTAACATATGACATCTTGCTGTCCAGCCCCCAAATACACATAGTCTTAGTAATTTAGTACAAAACCGAGAGGGGAAAGTGCTGTATAATTCTCATTCTTCTCCCCACTTTTGTCCTTTCCATGATTGGAAGATTAAGACTCAGAGTTAACTGGCTGTTGGGTGTGTGTGGATGCACACACATACACATACACATACAAATACTCATTAATGTGCTAAAAAAATATAAGTATGTATGACCTCTACATCAGTGGTTTTTAGAGCTGCAGCAATGCAGATGGTACAAACTGACCTAATCTCAGGCGCTTCCTGGAAAAGATCTGAATAAGATGTCATCAAGTGATCTTTATATCTTCAAAATTTCAAAAGCTTAAATTACATGGTCTATAGATGTAGTATATCTAATTTCCTGAAGATGGTACAAATTAGATACAAACTTTATTTGTATCAATATCTAAATACACTCTTACAAATAAAATGGATACACAAAGGAGTACTAATGTTTATAGCTGGTAAGTCTGCATAACAGTTTGGTCCCATGGGCAGTAAAGCAGGAGACTGACTCAGTGGAAAGAGCAGGTTGTACGTGACAATTTAGGCAGGCAGGGGTGGGGTAGGGTGGAGGGAATGGAGACTTCAGAACTAAACCAAGGGGACCTCAGCGGGAACCAGAGCCTGTTGGTCCACTCTGTGGAACTGTTAAGGCCACAGCTAAGGTGGGATTTGAAAGCTTGTCTAATCAAGGGCAATAAATGAGACATTTCAGAGACTAAGAAAACTTGCGAATACTCATCACTCATCTCTCTGACATATAGGAGCCTATTCCACAGTGAAATAGGAGTCAGTCCTTTCTTCCAGAATGGTCACAAAGCATTTCTTATCAACTGGCCTTTGAATTTATGGAATATGAAAATGAAATGACTGTTATTAGCGGGCCTAGGGTCAACTTCTAGGAACTGGGCTAGCCACAGTGGGAAAAGAAATTCTTAAGTCTGATTTAGAAGCCATCTTGGAAGAGTATCCCTTTAGCGATAGGAACTTCTCAATTTTAATGATAGTATTTTAAACTTTTTCTATAGCTAAGTGGGTATAACTTTATATTTAGGTATTCTAAATATGGTCAGCTTGAAATTTTTAGCTAAATGCCTTAAGAATGAAATATTTTAAAAGTATCTAAGACTATGATTCCAAACAGCTTCTTATTCAAGATAAAGAATATAAAAATATACCACCATGTTCTGGGTACCTGGAAAAGTAGATTTTAAATTTCATTCCAAAAATGAAAGATTGAAAATCAAAGATTTAGGACCACATTCCACAACCCTCCTCCCAAATTCCAGTCTATCTTTGATAAAAAGCTCTGAAGAAAAAGTTTCAGGAAACTTTCAGACATTTATAATTAACATAAACACTGTATTCCGAGATTTGTAAGTCAAGGCTTCTAATTATTCCGAGATACAAGCTCAGGCATGTGGCAATGGAATACTGTCTGAAAGGTCATTTCAACATCAAGTCACGGATCTCCTATTTACATAAGGATGTAGGGCAGAAATGCAATGTGCACACTGCTGCAAATTTCTCACATGGGTGTGCTAACATCTGCTTAAAAGCCATTGGTACCTTTACTGTAGGGGTTACTTACCCTTAAGTCAAATACTTTCTACTCAATATTAGATTGAGGTAACACACTAGATTAAAAATAAGACCATCAGGGTTTTCTTTAACATTTATTTAAAATAAATGCTTTATTCTTTTGTGGGTATTACAAATGATTTAAACTTACAGAAGCTTTTCTTGGACAGTAACTCTGTGAGTTTTAATATTGAGCCTTTCCTGCTAAGGTGACTATAAACACACAATGAGATGCTTGTGACCTAGCAGTACCACAGCTTGATATGATAATGCTTGGTCTTTAAAGCAGACCCATAGTGCTGACAGGCCTTAGAAATCATCTAGCTGGATTTCTTCATTTCATAGAAAAGGAACAGAGAGAGGTTCAGTGACTTGCTCAAAGGTTATGACTCTATTTAAAATTGCAACTCCTTACTCCCGACCTCCTAACCCTGCCCCCATGTTTGTCTAGGGCACTTAGTACCTGCACTAAATCACAAAGTATGTTTATTCTCTTTTATAATATGACAATATTATATTATAATATAATATTCTCTTCTATAATATAATCCTTGGAAAGATGGAGACTTTTGTCTGGTTTGTTCCCTTATATATCACCAGCATCTTGAACAATGTGTGGCACAAAGCAGTCACTCCATACATGTTTGTTGAATGAATGAAAATGTTGATTAATGCCTGAGCTAGTTCTAGAACAACTAATGTGTCTGCTCTCTTTCCTCCAATATTTCCAAAGCATGTTGAAAAGTTTCCTGAAAAAGGGGTTCTGTCTTCAAATAAATTTGGGAAATGCCTGGTTAAACTAAACAACTTTCTTTGCTATAAGTCCTTTCAAATTAGTCGTTTCCCAATTTGTATGACCTCAGAACCCATCTCTTCTGATATCTCAGGAGGCCAGCTTGGCTCATAGTATTATTTGACTACTATATCTACAACTTTGCTACATATACACTATGTATCTTACTTTGGGTATGGATAAAGATTGCTCCAAACATCTAAACTTTAGAATTCCCTGTTGTTCTCAAATCCTTTTCACACTTTTAATGATTCTGTCAGTTTAGCTAGAGGAGTGCATTTGCATGTACTGTTCAGGTGTCAGAGTTTAGGGGCAATATAAAACATCTAGAATCAGAACAGAAAATAGAAACCTCAACCTGAAAGCCACAAGTCCTATTTTTCAAACTAGAGCTGTCGTTATGACTTAAGGCCTAACATTATGGGTTTAGGAAGGAAAACAAAAAGGCCTCTCAGATCAGCCCAGATGTGGAAACCAAAGGGGTGAGTTTGGGAGAGTAGGAAAGGCAGGGTATCTTTCACTGGCAATAAAAAACATGAAGTAGCATTACAGAAATCAATAAGAAATAAATATTCCCACTGACAGAGAATGGCAGAGGTAGATAGGGTCCCATACATGCTAAAAATACTGGAAATTTCTACATGATACTTTACTGAGACAACTAGTGCAAAATGCTAAATTTCCTAGCACAAAAAGAAAATACTGGCAGTTATAAAAAAATTTAGGCCATGTAGCAATGAGTATGTATAATTCAGGAAAAAGCAAGCCCACTTATTTCCTTGTATTCTTTGTCTTTAGCAAGATGTATATTAAAGAAAAAAGTAAAGTACAATATCTTGCCCTATTATTCACATAACTTCTTTAGATCCAGTTATTAAAATGTCTTACAAAGTTCTTGATGAAAGGATAGAATAAGCTGATACTGAGCTTTCTTGGTTATGTTACTTCTATAGGATATATGGTTTATTAAGAAAAATCATTTCTTGAGAATTGCATTTTCATCCCTAATATATTCTTTTAAATTCATGACCATTTTGGAGAAACCATTGATGGCAATATTTCAAAACTAATTTTAATTGGTTATGAATAAGCAATAACATTTATAGAAATAAAGTGCTAATTTTTAAAAGTCAAATATACCCAATTTACTATATAATTAAAACTAAAAACAAAAAACACACAACTTCCCTGAGTAATTTTTGGCTCTGTTAATATGAAATCAGCCTTCTAAATGTGTCTAATAAGATGACATTGATTGATGGATTTGTTCATTTAATTCATTTATTCCACAAATATTAACTGAGTGCCCACTGTGTCAGGTACTATTTTAGTTTCTGTGATACATTAATAAATAAAACTGACAAAGATCCCTGCATTGAGGTACATATGTATAGAAATCCAGGAGTGAGATGATGGTGACTTGGACCAGGAAATGGGGAGAAGTAGATGGATTTGGGATACAATCTGCAAGATTC